CTCTCCTCTCCTCTCCTCTCCTCTCCTCTGGAATATTTTCACACTGCCCTTGTTATACTCCATTCACATGATGATAACTTCTTGCTGGGGTTTCATGAGGAAGCAACAGATCTCTCCTTAATCCTTTACAAGTACAAATGAAATATGGAGAAGTCTAACTTTGGACCTTCTTGTTTAGCTGAATCTCTTTGATACCTGTACTTTTTTCTATCCTTCAGAGTTTCTTTTTGCATAGAGGAGTCTGTAAAACAATTTATGCATATGTATGATTCTAATGGCATCTTAAATCACAGGAGAAAAACATTGTTGTTATTAAAGAGTAAATTCCACCCCCCAATTACTACTAATATGCAATACTTTAAAAAGAAGTTTCAAATTAGAAGTTACTGTTTAGGTTTGAAGTATGGAGAAATCAAAGTCTATTATAAGCCTTCTATGGCCCTATGTTAGCTTGGCTATCCAACTAACATCAAGTACAGTAAATGGAGTATACAGTTGATAGATAACACATTCAATATAATGGATACACTCCAATTTATTAGTTAGAGAATGGAGGAGTTACTCTAAATTTGTCCTCACTCCAGTTTGCTTCCCACTTTGCCCACTGTTCCTTGCATCACAGATGAAGACAGAACATACTGAAGTGAAGACAGTTCTGCTTTTTTTTTTTTTTTTAATGTAAATGTTCATCAGCTCTTGTTCAAAAAGCTCAGACTGACTCAAATGAAGATATTTCTCAAATAGTTAGTTGTTTATGTATGGCAATGTGTAATGATTGTAGCAAGCCCAGGATGAAACTCGTGGAAAATCATTTAGAGAAATATTTCCTTTCTTTATGGTAATATCAAAAGTGTCTGTACCAGATTACTCTTTCTTAGACAAATATAAAAGTTAATTGCTAACCTAAAGGTACCTGAGAAAAAGGGAGACAGTAACAAATCAAGAACTCTGGAGAAATAGATTTGTTAGGTTTCAGTATAAATTAAAACTTTAAACTATGTGAGCATAATCTGAAAGTTTATACCTTTTGTACACTTATCATTACCCCTAATACGGAAGTCTCTCTCTCACAGAGTATGTGTACCATGGGCCATGGTATGGAAGGGAAGCTGACCTTGTTTACAGTCATACTTACACAAATCTCTGGCAAATTTATTAAAAAAAATAGAAACTGTCAATTTGTTTGAGGCTCAAATACTCAAAGGTTGATGAACTCAATTTTTAGAAAGACAGAGTACTCACAGCTGTAGGTCAGATGTAATGAATAGTGAACTGCAAAGGCTTTGATCATCCTGTATCTGGTACTTGATTAAAATGAAATGCTTAATGCTAGCTAAATTTTGTCACACATTGTCAACTCGGGAACAAGATACTATGTCTGTAAAACTGGATAGTCAAGAAGATTTATTATTGAGGTCTGCTAGATTTTATGCTTAAGCAAAATCCAGTAAATCAGCGTTCTCTTGCATCAGTCCATAGGGTAGCAATGACAGTGTGGCAGTAAGTAGCTGGTGCACACCCACTCCTCACATCATTCCCTTCTGCAACTCACTAGTAGTCTGGAAATACAGGTATCATTGCAAAATTAAATTGTCACAGTCCTTGACTTAGAAGTCCTTGGAAATGTGAATGCAAATCAAACTTGGTACCTGGGTATCTTTCAGAAGGCTCAGAAGAACTACTCTTAAGCAAGAGAAATTGCTTCATATATCTCATGAGAAATTAAACATCATTTTTAGCTCTTTTAGGAGAGTAAGAATATCAGGTGGAATTCTATAGGTTGCTGTATGTGGTGCCTCCAGTGGGAAGCATTAACTCATTGTTTTCTCTCATTAAAACAAGGAACTGAGATGTAATAGGAAAAAAAATAAAACTGAGGAAAATTTGAAGCGTAGTAACTACAAAACATTTCAAAAGGTCTTGTCCTCTATCTGGTAAGAGCTGCACTAAAATATTTGGCTTAAAAGGCTACATCTGTATGGAATTAGCTATGCGTGGAATAGCTAACACTGATATCCTAAACCTTGGATGGATACAAGCAGGCGAACAGAAAAGAGAGTTTTATGGTTTATTTTATGCCAGCTAGCAAGGTGATGTAAGTCCTCCTGGTAACAGAAACACTGTTATGTTTAATAGATCTACCCCTCCATCAGGGACCACCACTGACAGAGGTGCGGCTAGAGAGATTGCGACATGATAGTGAGGCTCTTTCAGCCCTCCAACACCTCCTTCCCACCCCAGGATTAGGATAGCTTCATAAAAGCCCTCTCTCAGTAGAAACCTCCATGATCTCATGCAAGGTGTGACATCTATTGGCTTCAGAAGGAACGCTTTTTTCAAGTCCTGATTGAATGGAGACAAACTTTTCACCTGATCATATGTTATGGGAAATGGGAATGAAAATTAGAAACAATTGAGGCAGCTCTTTCGGGTTCAAGTTGGGTTTGGAGGGATACTGCATGAGAGAAGGGAAATAAGAGAAAAAAGTAGCTACATTGTTGTGTCATTTTCATTGTACCTTGTACCTGATACCTTATTAATTTGTTTTCTTCTTCCTCTCTCCTTCCTCCAGCACTTTCACTACCAGCCTCCTGAAAAGTTACACATGCTGTGCTCTGATCCTCAGCTGGTATCAGTCTCTTTTGCTGACTTATGGATTCTGAACTTCTTCCACACCAAACTTTTCCCACTATTTTTTCCTCAATTGTATAAGACAAGTCCATAGGCTTCTATTGAGTTATTCCAATCTACATGAGCCTAGAATTTGACCAGTAATACCCACATAAGTATGAAAACAGAAATTTCTGTCTTTAAGGTTAATTTGAGTAGCTATCACCTAAATGTCTGTCTTTTAACATTAATATGGATAACAGTCAGAGAAACATCAGTATGCTAACAGTCTAACCAGTACCATTTCTTCAGACTGGTTTATCTACCCTTTCAGATACTTACATTCGCCATCAGTGTCTAGACTTTAATAAATATAAATTAAAGTATGAAAATTTAACTCACTGTTAATTTTGTTCACTTGGAGGTAGAAGTTTTCAAGGTTCTCACTGACTGTTGGAATGCTCTTCAGCTGATTGAAGGAGAGATCCAACTCAACAAGTGATGTGATATTGAAGACATTGCCTGGTATTCCAGAATCTGTTAATTTATTGTGGGATAAACGTAAATATTGCAGGGCTTTAAAACCTTGGAAGTACTCATCAGGAACATTGGAGATCTGGTTATTATCAAAATACAGCATAAGTAAGGAGTGAGGCAGTCCTGTTGGTAGTTTTGTAAGTCGATTGAAGCTTAAGTCAAGATACAAAAGCGAATTCAGGCCCTTAAAAGCCCCTGAAATAGAATCTGCTTTCAGCTGGTTGTTCTGGAGGTGAATGACAGTCAGATTCACTAGCCCCTCAAGTGCACCGGGATTGACTTTTGTGATCTTGTTATGACTTAATTGCAGGTCATCCAGAGTTTTTGGGAGTGGTCCAACAGCTTCAGTCAAATTGTTGTAGTTAATGTGAAGTTTCTTCAGATTCTTTAATTTAGAGAAGACTCTTCCCTTAATTTTTGAATTTTCCAAATGGTTATGATCTAGGATCAGCCACTGTAGGTCTGTTACATTATCAAATGTGTTCTCTTCAATGCCCTCAATCATATTATTTCGAAGATAGAGGTATTTTATTCCACTTGGTACAATTGGAATAGTTTTCAGTTTAAGATTGTCACAATACATGGCAGTAGGATAGCTTAAGGGACAATTGCATTCCGGAGCACAGACTGCTGAGGATGGCCCAAAAGGATCATAACCGTAATCATCTGCAGGACCATAGTCATACTGGCAAAAAATGCCACTAATCAATAACAGAAAGACAGGTATGGAGTTTAAAGTCATTTTTGCAGTGTGTCTTGTCCCTGTAGGGTAAAGGGGAATAGAAAAGTTATAACTTTATTTTTTTCTCTCTTTCAGTAATATTTTACATTTTACCACTTAAAGATTGTAAAAAAAATAATTAATTTGGACTTCCTGTTTAAAGCTATTAATTAAGGAAAAAAAAAAATTGTTAGTATTGCATTGTTACCACTATAAACTTCTAGTCCCTGTCTTGTCATAATCTGCCTTTGTAATGCAAAATTACTGGCCATTCTGCTGTTGTAAGTCTTCCTGCATTCATTTTTTCATTCACTAAGTCACAAGAAGGATGATAAAGTCCAAGTTTCTTAAACTTGACCCAGAAGAGTTTTCAGTTTTGATGAAGACTATGTTTAGAGGCAGTTCCAGCATTTAAATTCTATTAAGCCTTCCTAATATACTGGATTGCGTCATATCTAAATAACATGTGTCAATTTGGCTTAAGTTTGGAAGAGCCTGGGAAGTTACCAACTGAGTGTAATGATCTGCCTCTATAGTGTGTTGTTACGTTGCCTGTAGCTTCAAATATTTCCTTCTCATGGATCATGTACAGTAAAACATTATCCACTAAGTTTCATATTCACCTAAAGAACAAACTAATAGAAATACATAGCATATTCTCCTGGATATGTCAAACAACCAGCACTGCATATGTGTGCATGAGTATACTCTGTCTAATATGGATCTACAATGGATCTGAAATGACTGAAGTTCAGACAGTGCAAATGTTCTTGCAAATTCTATTTATAAAAATAAATGTGTTGATTACATTGTATGGCCATTCTAAATCAATAGAACAATAAATCACTGACTTCACATAGTTGATCTTCCAGTTCACATACAGCAAGAGGACGTTTAGTGTCCTTGGGCATGTTTTGCTGTGATCCAGTAGAAGTGGTCTCACTTTACTTTTTAAGGGTATATCTTTCTTGTCAGATACTTCATAAGATGTTCATCTGTGAAGATTCATTTCTTGTTTTTATTTCTTACTACCTAGACAGAGGTTTTGTTGGAGAAGTGGGTTCAACATCACTGAAGTCAATGAGCTTATTTTGATTTTCAGCAGTAAAAGACAAGGCTCGGTGTACTCAATTACTGTTCAGAGAGTGAGATGATTAAGAAAATCCTTAGAACCTTCTTGTTCTCAAGTAATTTCAGAAAGTAGGTGAAGCCTGTAAACAGACCACCAGACATTGATCTCAGATCTGGAAAATCTTCCAGCAGGGTAAATTAGTCCTGCTGTTGGCATTGTTTAGTGTAACACAGGGTACCAAATGTTAAAATGCACAGGCATTTCTAGAAAGTCTTCCTTAATTGTAAATTTCCTTGCTTTTATTGACTTGATAAAAGCTACATCACATTCTTGACAGCTAGTCATCTCAACTAAAATACCTTTAGGCAGGGCCTATTAATCTCATGCAATACAGCACAAAGATTTTTTTAAAAAATATTTTCATGTTATCTCTAGTCAATCACCCAAAAGGTCCTTTTGCTATATATTAAGCTGCTGTCTCCTGAATAAGGAGGACGATTGCATATCTTTTCCATAGTGTTGGTCCCATCACATTTACCTAATTAAAAACCGTAGAACAGAGCAATCATTGGAATATGAGTTATCAGTGTGATTTCCTCTGTCTGTTCATCATTGCTGCATAAGAATATGCAACTCAACCTTCAGTCCCCTGCTGGTACAAATAAGTACAGCTCCTCTGAAATCACAGGCACTACAGTGTCACTACAGTGACACAATTCAACTCAAAATCTGGTCCTATTTAGGTACTAAACATTAAGGATGGAGGACTAACTGCTTCTGTGTTCAAAGTATAAGACAGAGTGTAATGAACTCCTTGGACTACTCTCTGGTATTACAGTGAAATTTTTACACATCTGCATAATTTTATATTTTTACTGATAAAGTAGTATAAATATCCTATTTTAAATTCAAAAGCTATTGTTCTTCTAGTTTCAAATTATATTTGTAATGCTAAGTTTTATTATTGTTATCAGAGGCTGAAAGTTCTTTTAATTAGTATACAATGTCTAACTGCTCTGTAGAACACTGGAAATAATTTAAAAAGGTAGCTAGCAAGTGTTTTGAATTAGTTTATTAACATTTTAAAATGTAGGTGACAATTCTGTAGTGCAAGGGCATAGGAGCATGTGTGTGACATAAAATAGCACAGTAAAGTATGTATGTAGTGTAATTAACTTGTTTTATTAACGGATTTCTTGTTCACATATCTGTTTCTCTGTCAGAGTGTAAAAGGTAAATAGATGGTGTACACATGCTTGTTTGTTACACTGAACTGTACGAATCCAAAAGATAAATTCAGAATACATTCTCAGACATTTATCTGATAGCATACGCATGATTGAACTAATTGCTTGTGTTTGTTCTAACCACTTACATTGCAAAATACCTGTGAAAATATATGTGAAGTTGCTCAGGCAATTTACCAAAGCATACTAAATGGTAAATCTACGATTTTGGAAAAAAGTTTACTATAGTAGAGTAGACAAAGTATTCAAACTATTTTGGAGCTAGTCGATGCTACCTTAATTCTAAAGTTGGTGGGAAACAAAATAAATATATGTTTATAATTCAGCCTTAAACTAAGTATTTCTGAATTCTGCAGCATAACATCTTACACAGTTTGCAAAAGATTTAATTTTTAAAAGTTTCAACAGTATATTTAAAATGTGCTTCAAAATTAGCTAAATATTCCAAAACATATATAATTTCCCTCTCATTGTTTATTAGATTAATTATTTAAATATCAGGATACCTTGTCATTTTGTAAAATGAAGCAAAATGTTTTAACAAATGGAGTCTGTGGAGGTCTTACTAATAGATTATGAATGAATAAGTAAGCTGTGAGTAGTCTTACAAATTTCTTTCTACTGTACATGAACTCTTCTTTTGAAGTAGAACAAAACAGACTGTAAAAAAGTGCAACACTTGTACAAAATATGTGAGGGTTATTTTAAGGAAACTGAGAAAGAAAATCCACTAAGCAACCGTTGATTTGTGTTCAATTTACAAATTGGCAAACTTATCCTGACATGTTTTCATATCCCCATTACAGCTACATTTAAATAGCTGAACATTACAGTTAAAACATGCAGCAGCACTTACCTTTCTGCCTTGAAGCTTCTTTCCTTAATTCCCAGAGCAGATGCAATAAGGGACTGTATCGACCAATATATGCTGTAAACAGTGTCAGGAGGTAAAAGTCTGCCAGATCCTCTGTGTTACAAGAGAAAAAAAAAAAAAAAAAGCAAAAAAAAAGCACTAGTCACGCTGTTCTCTGAAGCTGCTATGTCATCATGGTGATCTTGTGGTGTGGCATGTAAAAAAATGCAGCTCTCTAATGAAGTGCAGGTGGATACCATATTCTGTACGAGGACAACTGTTATTCCTGTGGGATGAGACAAACCTGAGAAAGTTTAGACCACTAGCCATAGCCTTATACAAGGATTTTTTGTATTTTAGAGGGAAAACATTCTAGATTATAAAATAAATTGCAAACAGACTTTTGTTTGCCAACTTATTTCATACTGCTAGACATGAGCTAACAAATAGTGCTCAGACCTCAATGATGCTGTTCTTCTTCAGCCAAGTGACTCATTCATTTTTCTGCCTTTTTCTTTAACTATCTTATGTCCACAGTAAAATATCCTTAATAAAAGTTTTAGCTTGAGGATCCGAACCAAGGATTCAGGATTATCTTTTAATTATAACTTTTTCTACAACATTAAATACCAAGTTCAAAGTTTCTTCTGCAAAGCATGGGAAATTACTTGGTCTGGAGATTTACTTTGGTGATTGAATGCATGTTTGTTTAATAAAAACACATCCCAGGAATGGGTTTTCGGCAGTTACTGTAAACTCACTTTATACATTTGTTCATTTTTGCACTTACAGCTTTCTCCTGCTTTTCAGAATCTGGAACTACTCAGCTTTATGTTGTCTGTTTCTTATTCCATGGATGTAGTTCAAGAATGCATCTTAAGGCTCAGATGAGATATTATTTTCACAAGGCAATGCCAAAAAATAATGCACTAAGACAGTAACCATTTAAAGTGGCTCTTTAAGCCTTCTCTTATCTCTAAATGGTGGATGTTTTCCCTTTTTATGGGATGCAAGCTCTTTCTTGTAAAGCTGGACTGGGACAAATGTGAAATGTGATACAGAAAGCATGCATAAGCCATTTTAAAGTGTCTGGTGCATTTAATTATATTTAACTGTAATTGTTTTGTGTACAGATCAAGTTTTTTGCCTGTTACCAATTGGCTATCTTTATCAAAAGCCATGATACAGGTTGTGGGTGGGCTGGCAAACCCTAGCAGCTTCCTGAAGAAAAGGAGCCTGGATGTGGGCTTCCCCTAAAATCTGCGGGTAATGGATCTGGGCCTCCATGTCAGTGCAGGTTAATGGGAGCAGGGAAAGGCCTGTCATAATTCAGTGATGTTCACTGAGAACAGAAAAGACATGTGTGCTTCTGCAATAACACAATTAGTATATAAATTTGCTCAAGAAATAGTGCCAGCTGCCAGCGCAGCCCATAGGGAGTGAATGTTACTCTTTTGATGTTCTGACTTCATACCTATCCCCCTGACGTGGGAGAAACACTTTAAGAAACATGCTGATCACAGCCCATAACAACATTACTACCTGAATGATGCAAATAAGTGAATGTGAAGCAGAGGGATTACGATAGTGAATTAAGCTAAGTAGATGGAGAAGTGTGCATGGTATCAGAACTATAAATGTAGAAGTGGACAGAGCTGTTGTTATTCTGTGTGTGAACAGAGACCAGATGGAGTTTCTCATCCACAGAATGATATTTATTTAAAAATTACTTCATTAGTTTCAGTTGACAAAGGAAAATCTAAACTGTTGCATTGACTGCAAATGGGCCAACAAGAGAAGCATTCAGCAAAAGATCAATTGGAAAAAAATAAATTTTTAATATAGAAAGAGTTGCCTTAAAAGGCAATACTGAGGTTTGCTCTGTGGAAGAAGGCAGAGCAAGCTGAGCAATGGAACATAGTTTTTGTAAAGAGAATTTTAAAATTCACAGGAAAGACATTAGTTGTGTTTTCTGTAATTAAAGATGTGTTTTGAAGGACAGGAACAATATTATAATAAATTAAAATATATTTTGATTTTTCAGTAATAGATGCAGTCTTACATTTGCAGTACAAATAGAATTGTACATGGGTTACAAATACAGGATAATGCAGGCTTAATATTTTTTTCGCAATTTTATTTGTGCACCAGTTGTTTATTACACTGATTTCTGTAAGTCCAGCATATATATTTTTTATCATTCTATTAATATAAATACAAAGCATGCATATCTTTATAACTTGTAGAAAAATCTTATTAAAAAAACCGTGATGATATTTTACAACTAGCATATGGTAAAATCTTCAGTCATGTATAGCTCAGCTGAAACTTTTTCATTCATAGAGTTCCTGTCTTGTTGACTGTATCAGATTAGCTATATAAATTGCACAGTCAAGTTGAAGAATCACATGCCTTCCAAGGATAAGATATAAACTAATATATTTTCCCTTTAATAAGATTTTTGCCATCGCTCCATGTTGTTTTTTAATACTATCCCTTCAACATAATTTTATATGCTTTCCTAATATTACTGTTCTCACTCACGAAGCACTCACCTCATAAACCTCTTTTTGGGGGAGCTGGTAGGGACTAATGCTCAGCAAATGAAAGTATGGCTTCTTCTGCAGCAAAGGATGGGAAAGTAGATGCATAATTTTTCCTTTCTGACCTTATTTTGTGTTTTGGGGGTTTTTCTTTTTGTAGCTCTCTGAAGTCACTAAATGACAAGTGAACATAATCTAGCTAATTTCCAAGGAATACACAAAATAATGTGTAAATACATCTATGACATCTATGTGGAAAATCAGTTATGAATATAACTGGGGGCCTACAGGAAGGCTGGGGACAGACTTTTTTCAAGGCCACATAGCGATAGAACATGGGGCAATAGCTATAAACTGGAAGAGGGTAGATTTAGATTAGATATGAGGAAGAATTATTTACTGTGAGGGTGGTCAGACACTGGAACAGGTTGCCCAAAGAAGCTGTGGATGCCCCCTCCCTGGAAGTGTTCAAGGTCAGGTTGGATGAGGCTTTGAGCATATTTTTTTTTATTTTTTACTTTACAGCAACTGTGCTCCTAATTAAGCCATCTCAGTTTGTTTTCCCTCAAAATAGTTTTCTTCTTATTCCTTATTTATTCACTTTTCTTTGATGGGAAGTGTGATCAAAATCTATTCTCATCTTCGTTTATGACGTTTTCTTTGTCATGTGGTACATGAACAGAAATATTCTTTGTGTTTGATTCAAAGCTCCTTTCTTGTCAATTCATATCTTCATGGCTGGAGATGGCCAAGAAGTCTGGTAGGTTGTAGTGAAAGAATCTGAAACCAGAGCTCACCGCAAGCGTATAACTTTGCGGTAGGTGTGATCTCACCTTCAAATATTGTCAAGTTACAGTGCGACTATATTCTCTCTTCACTCATTATTGATATCCTTTCTGCCATTTCTCTCCTGTAAAACTACCTTCTTTATAACTTCTATGCACTTCCGCATAAGTGGTAACTCCTCCCAGTCTGTTTGCTTTTAATCCCCTTTTTCCCAAAAGACTCAAGTTACTAAAACCTAATAAATATCTAAATCAACTGCTTCCTTTTAGTCTTAAACCTGTGTACACATCTGGTACACAAATATGTACCCCAAGAACCAAGAGATTTGGATGCCCAAAATTAAGGGTAGGATATCTGAGTCATAGGAACATATAGCCCCAGAAAAATTGCTTGTGGAACTTTTCACATTGTCACATAAAATGAGCAGTGAGTTTTCACACTGGTCATTCATAATTTAAAACAAATACTACTCTCAAGATGAAATGAAGGCTAGTTCATTTTAATTGGCTACCTGCAGCAGAAGGTAAAGAAATCTCCATTAAGGGAAAGGCCACTTCATGGGCACTATACAGCAAGCCACTTAATTATAAAGAGGTAGGGTAGTGTTTATGCATTATGTTTTCTGTATCTCTAAGTAGTGAATATATAGCCTGTTAGTTTAAATATAGTGAATAAACAAAAATATGATATTGATGTAAATCTTCAGTAATAATTAGTTAAATATTTTTGTGAAGTCCTGCAGCATTTTGAAAATATTCCTTCAGGCTGACTCATATCAAATGAGTTCCACTAAAAACAATTCATTTCCAGATTCTGAAGGCTGTAGGTGCTTATTATTTTTTCATCTGAAAACTTCCATTCCTCCAAATTGAAATTTTATTTGTTCAGCCTCTGCACTGCACTTACATGTTAAACAGAAAGTGTTAGAGCACATTCTATAAGCATTACAAAATTTGTGGTGATCCAAATCCTTTTTTTCCTTTTCTCCTAAAAAGGAAATAACAGCTTTGGAAATTTACAAAAACGGTAATAGTGGTACAACTTATTAGCAGACCGCAACAGATATTTTAGTAGAGCATGAATCTTTGTTTTTGTCATTCTGAAAAATTGCTCACTGTTTTGCTTCAAACTTGACAGTGTCTATGTTCTAGTACTGTTAGCCTGCTCTTCATTAGTTTTCAGACTGGTTTTCTACTAAAATGCATTTAATTTTATTCAAGTTGTCAATGGTCTTTGAGCTGATTCAAAGATTGAGTTAACCTTTTTTAATGATAAGAACTGCACGGGTGAAGGGAAGATGCTAATTTTAAAGCAGATTTATATATATATATATATACACTGTGCTTCGGGTTACAGCATTTAAAATTTGTTGATGTATGTAAAAAAGGTCAGGTGGCCATGGAAAGTGAATCAATTCAAATAACTCCTAATGCAAAGAATGCAAAAGGATCTCAAGGAGTTGGTGAATGTTGTTGAATTTTTACAGGTAAAAATTACAGGAGCAGCTCTATTTTAAACAGTACAGAGTTTATAGGAAAAGAAAGAAATAGACTCGGCAAAGTTGGCTAGCTCACTGCTTATTGTTTCTATATACTAATGCTGTATCAACACAGAACTCCTTTGAAAATCATTAGGTGCTAAACTTCTTCCCCTAGTCTAAGCATTAACAATGTTTGTCTACTTTCAGATCACTACTGTCTAAGATAAGAAGGGATGTTGCATCATCTACCCCAACATGCTGTATAACACAAACCATTAAACCATCCTGTTGCTACTTTATTGAGTTTAACAAAAAACCTTTGCCTATTTATGCTCCAGACAACATAACCATGATCTCAGACGTGAAATGTTTGTGAGTTTTCTAGTTTCGTGCAAAAATACATTGATTTTTTTTCTCAGGCTGGCTTCAGGATTTGGCAGGTTATGACAGGCCTTCAGCACTTTCCTGTCTATGGGCAGAGGGTTGCATCTTG